TGTTAGGTATAACATTGATACCAAATATGGTTTGGGTGAATAAATATATAAAACTTAGATATCATGGTTTAAGTGCTTATCACTTTAAGCACAATGCAGCAGGCAATTAGCCGATTAAGGGTGCGGTTAGAAGTTACAATATAAGGAAGCATTAGAAGCTGGAAAGCTTACTGTGAGTAACTGTTACTGTGTGCTGCTGCGACTAACTGTGATTACTGACTGTGAGTGCCTGTGACTGAACTGTTATTGTTTGCTACTGTTTGCTGATTTACTGCGTAATTCTACTGAATATCCAGCGTTTGTTTCTCTGGAGAGTGAAACCGGAGGAGGAGAAGATATCTTTATCGGCTGATAAAGATATTGCAAGGACTCTTAACTTGGACTATACTAGTGAGTCTTACTGGATGGAAATACTGTGAATGACTTAATGGACTGAATGACAATGTTTAAACTCTAACTGGATTAAAAACTATTTAAACTACAAACAGTGTTTGTGTTCAGTGTGTGCATACTCTGGGGCCCTTCCTGGCTTGACTACTGCTGCAATACTCTTCTAGGGGTTAATCCCCAAACCCTAACACTCTGTTAATACAATTTAGGATTGCATTAGCTTTTTTGGCTGCTGCTGCACACTGCTGGCTCATATTTAGCTGGTTGTCCACTAAGACTCTAAGATCCCTCTCACAGTTACTGCTATTGAGCCTGGGTTCACCCAGTCTATATGTGTACTTTTGGTTTTTCTTGCCTAAGTGTAGGACTTTACTTTTCTCTATATTGAAATTCATAGTGTTAGATACGGCCCAGTGTTCTAGTCTATCAAAATCCATCTGGATCTTGAGCCTATCTTCTTGGGTGTTAGATATTCCTGCCAGCTTAATATCATCTGCAAATTTGGTAAATTCCCCTTCTATTCCCTCATCTAAGTCGTTAATGAAGATATTGAAGAGTACTGGGTCTAAGATGGAACCTTGTGGCACCCCACTGCTTACTTCCCTCCATGTAGACTTAGACCCATTAAGGACTACTCGTTGAGTACGGTTTGCCAGCCAGTTGCGAGTCCATCTAGTAGTGGGGCTATCTATTCCACTTTTTTCTAGCTTACTAAGAAGTAGGTTGTGGTCTACTTTGTCGAATGCCTTGCTGAAATCTAAATATATTATGTCCATAGTATTTTGCTGGTCTACTAATTTAGTCACTGTGTTGAAGAATGAAATAAGATTGGTTTGGCATGATCTGTTCTTAACAAACCCGTGCTGACTGCTAGTTATTACTTTACTTGTTTCTAGATGTTGGCAGATCTGTTTTATTATCTTTTCCAGTATCTTCCCAGTTTTTGACGTTAGGCTGATTGGTCTATAGTTTCCTGGTCTGTTTTTTTTTCTCCTTTTTTGAAGATGGGAACCACATCAGCTCTTTTCCAGTCCTCTGGTAGTTCCCCGGTGCTCCAAGATTTTTGAAAGATATGGTGCAGTGGTTCTGAGATGACCTCTGCCAACCCCTTTAAAACTCTGAAATGTAATCCATCAGGCCTCGGTGATTTGTGTTCATCAAGATCAGACAGGTGTTCTCTTACTATTTTTTTACTTAACTTTTATTTCTGGTCTGTCTTTTACGTTATGTTTTTGGTGGGTTGAGCTATAGTTTCTTTTTGCATGAAGACCGATGCAAAGAATGAGTTAAGCAGTTCTGCTTTCTCTTTTTTTTATTTTTTTTATCTTTGACTTTTGTTGCAAGCCTTTGTTCGTTCCGAGCCTTTGCTATCCTGACTTCATCTTTGCAGATTCTGGCTATCTGCTGATATTCTGCCTTAGTTGTATGTCCTTTTTTCCATTTTTTGTACTTGTCCTTTTTTTTTCTTTCAATCTGCCAGAGAGATCTTTGTGCAGCCACAAAGATCTGGATTTCTTGTTTTTCTTTCTCAATGGTATTGTGCTGGTCTAGGCTTCTATGATCATACTTTTCAAGATTCTTGAGTTGTTTTCTCCTTTAGGATTTTCATCCATGGAATCTTTCCCAAATTCTCTTTGAGTTTATTAAAATCAGCTCTTTTAAAATCCAAGACTCTGGTGTCATTATGTTCTGTTGCTTGTGTTTGTGTTATGTTGAATTCTAGTATGACATGGTCACTCTCACCCAAGGTTCCTGCAGTTTCAACTCCCTCTATCACTTCTTCACTGTTTGTAATAATTAAGTCCAGTATGGCTGTCCCTCTAGTTTCACCCTCTACCTTTTGGACAACAAAGTTGTCAGCTAGGTTGGTTAGGAACTTATTTGATTTCTCACTTGGTGTAGAATTAGTTTTCAAATTGATATCAGGATAATTGAAGTCTCCCATTCCTATTGTTTTGTGTTTCCTGCATATGTTTGTTAGTTGGCTGGCAAAAAGGACATCTATATTTTCTGCTTGATATAATATACACCTATGGCCATGTCATTCTTTTTTTCTTTTATATTGACCCATATGCATTCTAGGTTTTCATCTTTGGTTTCATGCATTTCTGTAGCAATATAGTGGTCCTTTACATACAGTGCAACTCCACCTCCTCTTTTATGGGGTCTGGTTTTTTTTAATAGTTTGTATCCTTCTACCAGTATGTTCCAGTGATGGGTTTCATCCCACCATGTTTCTGTAATTCCAACTATATCATATCTACCTTCATGTATTCGTAGTTTGAGTTCACGCTATTTGTTCCCCAGACTTTGTGCATTTGTATATAGGCACTTGAGATCTTTATGTCTGACACTGTGTTTACTGTCTACATAACTTGTGTTGTGCCTGCCTTGTCCCTACTTTCATGCCACCTGTTTGATTAATGCACATGGTATGGCACTCACTACTAAATGTTCCGTTTTGGTTGACAGCAAGGTTGGTAATCTTACCTGCACAAGCATCTATTTTTCATGCACTGGTATCCTTATTAATTTTAGGTTGCTGGGGACAGAAATGTTCTGTATCCATTAATTCTCTGTCCCCGCTGTTCAGTTTAAATGTTTATCCAGGAAATCTGTGAATTTAATGCCAAGTAACTCAGTCCCTTTCTTTGATGGATGCAAACCATCTCTTTTGTACAGTTTGTCATTGGACCAGCTGCAGACTTCATGACTAATAAAACCAAAGCCTTCCCTTTTACACCACTCCTTTAGCCACACATTAAACTCCACTACATGCTGGCCTTTCCCCTTTTGTTCCTTGTATACTGATAGAACTTCTGAAAAGATAAGCCTACAGGCCATATTACTAAGTTCAGAAAGTACATCCTTCTGGGACAGATCATTTGTACCAAGATGTATAATAGCATCATCACAGTCATTACTGGCATTCTTGACTATCTTAAGAATACACCTCTTGTCTCTGCTGGCAGTAGCACCTGGCAGACACCTGACCTCTTTCAAAACCTCCGTATCTTTTCCTAAATTTACATCCCTTACAACTGAGTCCCCAACCAGAAGGTGGCTTCTCTTTTTGGATGCCTTACTCTTCTTGTGTGATTGGTGCGTAATACCTGATTCACACTTTCTCCTTTCCAAAGTAGGTTCTTCTTCTGGGACCATGATCCTCGGCTTATTTGAGTTATCATTATCACAACCACCTTGACCTGTCACTTTAGTGTCCCTATTAAGGTCAGCAAGGGCACTGTATCTGTTATGCTGGGACACAACAAAAGCTTTGTGTTTATGGTCCACAGCTCTCATCCTGCCAGATCCCACGGTTGTCCATACTGCCCTTTTCCTGTAGGATCTTTGTGGTAGTGGGGGCTAATAGCATGGCAGCTCAATAGATGGCTGGATTGGGCACCTAATTTCTGCTTGGAGAGCACAGATTAGAGATTCTAGATAGGTAATCTGTCCATGTAGACTGGTAATTTTTTTACAAAGAGGACAGTATCCAAATTTGAAAAGAGTACTGCGAAAGACAGCTGTAAAGCAAGTATTGCACTGAACTAAGCCAGTCATTTTGAAATAAAATAAAGTCACAATATCAAGCGCACTAACCCTAAATGTATTATTGGTATTTTGGTTTATAGTTATGATTCTCGCGCCATTAGGTGCATGGGCCGCTATCTTTCTCCTTTGTACTCACCCTCTGCCTCCTCCCAAGCAGCCAGCAGCTCCTCACACCAACCTCTTGGAATTTGAGACAACAGATATTTCACTGATAAAGGCATATTTCATAAAACTATGAAGGATTATAGATATAGCAAGTTGAATATTCCATATCTCATACCCATTCATTATTTGTATATTTGATGGCATATTTATGTTTATAAATCCACATACAGACAGGAGGTTGTACAACTTGCCTCGTGGTGTAACCAGAACAATCTGGAACTGAACACACTCAAAACCATAGAAATGGTGGTACACTTTAGAAGAAACCCTCTCATACTACCACCTCTTACAATAATAGACAATACAGCATCAACAGTAGAGACCTTCAAATTTCTAGGTTCTATTATATCACATCACCTAAAATGGACACCTAACATCAAAAACTTCATCAAAAAAGCACAACAAAGAATGTTCTTTCTGTGCCAACTCACAAAGCTCAAACTGCCCCAGGAGCTGCTGATACAGTTCAACAGAGGAATTATTGACTCTATCATCTGCACCTCTATAACTGTCTGGTTTGGTTCTGCAATCCAACAGGACAGACACAGACTTCAGAGGATAATTAGGACTGCAGAAAAAACAATAACTACTGTTGAGGTATTCCCGTTAGGAGAATGAGTGCACTCAGGGAAACATAGTGACAGTGGGGATGAATAACACACAACCAGCACACAGATACACTGAATAGTAAAATGTAAGTCTTACTTCCTGTAAACGGGTAAACGAAGTCCAACAAACAGTCCAAATCATACACGGTTAAAGCAGTTAGTATTCAAAACAATCAGTCCAGCGATAATCCAAAGACGAAGTCCTTTTCTTTACCAATATCATAAACAAAGTTCAGTAAACGGAGTTTGCGAACAGTTGCAAGACTCACAGCAATCCAAGCAGAATTATGTTCAGGCAAAAGTGAAATGCAAGAAGAACAAACCAGGCTTCTGGCTCCATCTTATGGCCGTTGGAAGAACCTCAGTCAATCACAATTACAACATTCTCTTAAAGATACAACAGTATTAAATGACTATCCTGTTTTATATATTGCCAACCCAACGGTAAGGTGACTATCATTCCTAACAACTCCCTTCCATTGAGGACCTGTATACTGCACGAGTCAAAAAAAGGGCTATGCAAATATTTACAGACCCCTCACATCCCAAACATAAACTGTTTCAACTCCTTCCCTCAAAATGATGCTATAGAGCACTGCACACCAGAACAACTAGACACAAGAACAGCTTTTCCCCGAATGCCATCACTCTGCTAAACAAATAATTCCCTCAACACTGTTCAACTATTTACAAAGTCTGCACAACCATTACTATTAATCTTTTCATCACTCCTTATCACCCATCCCCCCCACTTGTGACTGTATGATGGTAACTTTGTCGCTTGTATCCTTAAATACATACTGTTTCCTAGTATGATTTGATTGCTTATTGTACCCTATGACTATCATTAAGTGTTGTACCTTATGATTCTTGACGAATATATCTTTTCTCTTATGTATACTGAGAGCATTTGCACCAAGACAAATTCCTTGTGTGTCCAATCACACTTAGCCGATAAAGAATTCTATTCTATTCTATTCTATTCTATTCTATTCTATTCTATTCTAT